TTCCGTACGATGGATTTGTCGCTATTCTCGCTTCGACCTCGATAAAATCTTCAAACGTCGCCTGTCTAACATCTGTTTGCTCAATTTTGTCCACTATTCTGCTCCATTTCTCCTTCATATTGTACGGTAATTTTTGTAATAGGGCCCGAATCGTTTTAACATCAACTGACCCCGCATCGTGCGGCAGACTTTGCAGAGCATTCATACTTCCACGTAAAAGAATGGCAAAGGAATCAAGGCTATGAGATCAGATGTTTTACAACACCTGAATCAAGGCTATCTACATCTTCGTATTTAATGTTGGGAGTTTCAAGCAATTTTTCTACTAAACCGAGTGCCATTTGCGAACGTGCCAAACACTCACTAGTCACTAAATAAAAAGTTTCAATATCTGCCATAGCTATACCGAGTGACCGATTGCTTTGAAACTTTCAGCGGTTGATAAAAGCAACAGTAGGGGAGAGTGGGGTAATTTGGCCGCTTTTTTTTAGAAAACGATGTAACTAAAAAACGACAGCACATTTCTGCATTTTCTCAACGCTGACAGGTGTGGCATACATTTTACTTTCTTGGACAGTAAACTTGAAATGATTGAGTAACTACTTATATTGAAATTGTGGCGTATTACAAAGGTCTGCAAAGCGGCCAAATTGCCCCAGTAGCAGGGTTATTTGGCCGGGGGTGTGGGGCAATTTGGCCGGTGTTAGTTTAAGGCCATGATTTTTGTTATAGGCGAGTCAGCTTCACATTCAGCAATGACGCGTGTCCTACGACGCATTTGAAGCATTTTGGAGGATGACTCAGCCGTCACAGTGGTCGAAAATAGTCAGAATAGCGGCTCTAGATGCTATGACAGTTTTTTACGAATAACTTTTGAAGTAATCAAGCTAGGCCAAAACTAAAAGTACCATCGTAATTCTCTCGTCATTCCGCATCGAAACATGTATGTGTTGACCTTGATAGGTCAAGGTCAAAGGTTGGCTTCAGGTCACGTTACCTCAGGTCGCTTGACCTCAAGGTTACGTGAGTTCAAGGTCATCATGTATATCATTCGATGCGCCTTGACGAGCTGAACACAATGAGACCATTTGCGCGGCTGTATCTTTTTTCTGTAAGTATTTATTAGCAAAAAAGCGTTAGGTAAACTTTGATGACGTCACATGCCATTGCCCATTACAGCTGTCCAATAGGAAATATGGTATCAAGGTAGTCAAAGTTGGTCATGAATTATGTCCTTTATGGTATAATTGACCATGACAACTCGGCCGTCCCAGCATAGTGACTCTGAGCGCACCGGCCAAGTTGCCCCGCTAGTCCCGGCCAAATAACCCCACATTGCCATTCTGAAAATTTTTGTCTATAAAGTCGTCATGGCTGTACAGAACTAGATGAAATTGCTCTTGGAACCGCTGAACACCCTCAAAAATGGCGCTATAATGTTGGAATTCGTTTACAGCCCAAATACTGCATGTTATACAAATTTTTAAACAGAAGTAAAAGTTACCATTTTCTAACGTAATTCACCTTTTATTAATTTTGAATAAAACTAAGAGGGGGAAAGTTTTGACATTTGATCTCGAGTTAGTTCTGCCGATGACAAATGAATAGAGACTAAAGTTATTTCATTCACTTTTATCAGCTTTCGTACAGGTGGGGGCGGCCAATTTACACCACCGGCCAAATTACCCCACTCTCCCCTACCTATGTTAAAAAATGTTTAGGAATTTTGGTATCGGTGACCTAAGGTCAAGTCAATTTTGCAACCTCTCTATTAGGTGTAAGTCAGTGGGAGAAAATTGAAATGCGCCTCTTTTGGACGAAAGTCATTATAAACATTCCCAAACACTGAATTAAAAGTAATTTAGACACACTGAACATGGAAATGGTGTCCGTGACCCCTGTTTATGCCCCTGAGGTCATCTCAGGTCACGAATGGTATCTAAGGGTTTTTCGCAAATAACGTTTCATAGAGACATGTTAGAGCGATGAAAACGCCTTAGTTGGGTTCGGCTCGACGATAGGGATCGACTGATATGCAACATGACCCTTTCCGGTCAGGTTATGACCTTGACCTGAGGTCAAATTTTGAAGCTGACCTTTCAAGGCCAAATGATAGTCCATTCAATGCGTCTTGAGGAGAGGAACACGATGCCAGTAACAGAAAACTCGTGTAAAATTCGTGCAAGGTTTCAGTCAAAAGGCATGCAGAAAAACTCGTGTCTATTTTAGTAGTTCTTGCCCCCTGCAGGCAAAACCGTTGACGGCAGGTCAAATCCGAGGAATCACTCAGAAAGAGCGTTAATAGGGCTATCAAATGCGCTTTTTCGTGGCGCTATAGCTCTATTAGTTTCCGAGCTGTGCGTCGATTTATTGAAATTTGTCGAAATGTGACCTGGAAATCGGCGAATTTTTGTCTTCAATGACCTCAGGTGACCTGACCGGTGACCTGACCAAAAAAGTGGCCAGTAATTTCTTCTTTATTTTGGCGCTCTTTCGAACACCGCCTTCTCCGTATCGCTACGTGGCCCAGAAGCTGAGTTAGAAGGGGAGGTGCTCAAACCCCCTCCCCCCCTGCAGGACATGGAAATCCAGGACCCCCAGCGGGGCGCGGGTTAATGATGTCTTAATGATATGATGGAGGAAAGCCATTCTGCAAAGTCGGCTAACCTTGTGCCATGGAAACGTAACATCTATCAAAAGTTATTGTAAAAAATGCGGACACCTTTCATGACCTGAGATGACCTCATGGGCACAAAGTCACTGGTGTAATTTTCCGATTCAGGGTATCATGTTTACCTGTAAACCGATGTTTGAGAATGTTTAGAATGACGTTCGTCTAAAACAGGCGCATTTCGATTTTCTCCGATTGACTCATAATGCAGAGGTCGCAAAATTGACCTGACCTTGGGTCACAGATAGCAAAATTAACCCGCGCACCGACGGGGGTCTGCACCAACTTACAACCGCTGAGATCTCGAGAACGAAGCAAGGTAGCGACGAGCGGTAAAGGGCATGGGGTACGCACGGACAAGGTCTACAATTTTTACTGGGTCATTTTCAGGTCAGGTCAATGATGACGTCACGGGGGTCAAAAAGTCAAAATGGTAGCGCTAGATATGGAGTTTTTCTCGAATAATGTTCGACTTACTAAAGATAGGAACAAACTAAAGGCATCATCGTGATCCTCTCGTCAATCCGCATCGAATCACATATATGTTGACCTCGAAAGGTCAAGGCAAAGGTTGACCTCAGTTCACGTGATCTCGAGGTCATCATGTGTATCATTCGATGCGCCTTGACGAGCTGAACACAATGAGACCATCCGTGCGGCTGTATCTCGTTCCTGTACGGAGTTATTGGCCAAAAACCTTTGGTGACCTTTGATGACGTCACATGACCTCACAGCTGCCCAACAGCAAAACAGACCTCAAGGTATCGAAGGTTGATCGTTGATCGATATGGTATATGGGGCCATTCCGACCCGTTTTAGTGGTAAAAACAGGGAGTTGATTTTCCCCCTTGACTTATAATGGGGAGGTCGTGAGAAATTGACCTGGCCTTAGGTCATCGGTATCAAAATTCCGAGATATACAAATTGTAGATGCTAATAGCCTAATAACATCCTGCGACTTTCAAAAGCCTCCGTCATCTACTGTAGCACTGACACGGTGACAAAGTTACAAAAAAGTGACTTGAGGTTGGGTCATTCAAAGTAACCTGGTGACCTGACCTTAAAAGTTAGGAGGTTCAAACTTGCACACCATGTGTAAAATTGATGTGAAAATAGTCACACCCGCACACCCGTATTTTCCCGCTATTAACGAAAAAAAACTCGGGGGGGCGGATAACCGCCCCCTGTCGGTGCGCGGGTTAAGGTATATACAATACATTTTATGCATACTGTTACTCTTGTTAATCGCTGAAAGTCTCAATGCGATCGTTCTGTCAGTTAAGCTATAGCATGGGGTGGAACTTTTTTTGAGGTAAGGTCACTTGATGTGACCTGGTGACCTGACGTTGAACAACGTGGGTGCGAAATTTTCACAACCTATGCAGAAAAATGTATGATAAGTTGTGCTAAGAACTTGGGGGGGGGGGGCGTAAAAACGCCCCCAGTAGGGCGCGGGTTAAAACGATCCGACCAGCTTAAAATTCCGAATATATTAGTGTCGGGGAATCTGCTCTGCAGGCTTCAGAGGAGCGCCCTGCCGTCGCTTTGCGGGTAGCAGGCTATTTCGGTTTAATACGAGCACCGCTGAGCTCTGTGGGGTCATGGGACTAGAAAGAGCCATTGGGACTGTGCGGACCACCGTAAGGGGCCGTCCCGGAGCGGTGGGGCGGGGGTGTACCTACCGCTGGGACTGCCCGCCCTGGCACCCAGCCGGTCAGGCAGGCCGCCCACCCTGGCCAATTCAGGTGGACTTTGTCTGATGAGGGTGATGGTCAGTGCGGGTAAGGGGGTGGGGATGCGGTGTCGGTGTCGGATGCCGGCTGCTTCTCAGAACGGATCACAGCTGTCGGGAGGTCAGTGGGTAGGGTGTCCTTCTCAGAGGTCTCAGTGCTCACAAAGGCCAGTGACATTGCCCACGCGCAGAGGTTACAGAGGTCACAGAGGTCAGGTCACAGAGGTCACAGAGGTCAGGTCACAGAGGTCAGTCACAATCCACGCCAGGTCGCACAGGTCACAGACGGTGGCGCTCACACCGTCTGCGGCTCCACTGAGCGGGCGCTCACACCGTCTGCGGCTCCACTGAGCGGGCGCTCACACCGTCTGCGGCTCCACTGAGCGGGCGCTCACACCGTCTGCGGCTCCACTGAGCGGGCGCTCACACCGTCTGCGGCTCCACTGATCGGGCGCTCACACCGTCTGCGGCTCCACTGAGCGGGCGCTCACACCGTCTGCGGCTCCACTGAGCGGGCGCTCACCGCTCACACCGTCTGCGGCTCCACTGAGCGGGCGCTCACCGCTCACACCGTCTGCGGCTCCACTGATCGGGCGCTCACACCGTCTGCGGCTCCACTGAGCGGGCGCGCGGCACCGCTGCTCGCCACCGCTCACCGCGGCTGGCGCCCGGGTGCGACCACAGCCGAACCGAGCGGCGCGCCGGCGCCGCCTGCTCGGCCGGCCGGCAGTGCTGCAGTGGGCGCAGCCACAGGCCGCTGCTGTCCGAGCCGCCGGAGCCCTCCGACCTCCGCGGCTGGCCCCCGAGCGGCCACGGCGACTCAGGCGGCGACGGCGACGGCGAGCGGGAGCAGGCCCGGCCGTGGCGGCGCGGCTGCAGCTGACCGCGCGCCGCCGCCACCGCCGCCGGGTCGTGCGGGATCGGCAGCGGCGCGCGCTGCACCGCGCCGCCAATCGCCGCCGGGAACCGGAACGCGCGGGCGGCGATCGCCGCCGCGCCCACGGCCAGCCTGGCCGGCGAGGGCTGCGATACCGGCGATCCGGCCGAGCTGTCCGAGTCGGCCGGCAGGGCGTCCGTGGAGTGGGCGCGCAGCGGCTCCGGCCGCCCCTCCAGCTGCTGGCTGACCTGCGCCCAGGTCAGCTCGGAGGCCTGGCGCCGCAGTCGCGTGTGACGCCGCCGCCGGCGCCGACGGCGCCGCTGGTTGGGCGTCCGGACGAAGGCGTCCGACAGCCGGCGCTGCAGATGCTTGGGAAGCTGCATGGTCAGCTGGGTGGCGATCGACGGCCGCTGCAGGCACGCCCGCGGCGCGCGCGCCTGGATCTCCAGCTGCATCTCCGACTTGTACAGCTGCTTCCGCACAAAGTTCTTGAAGACGCGGCGCAGGTTTTTGCTGCGACACCCGTAGATGAGGCCGTTGAGCGGACTGAGGCAGAGCAGCAGGTGGGCGCCCAGCGCCAGGCGCTCGTCCACTAGCGCTCCTGCCACGCTCTGCCAGGTGACCAGGCTGGCGAACGGCACGTACATGAGCAGCAGCGGCAGCAGCACGTTCACGGTGGTGCCCAGTGGCGAGCGGCTGCGCTGCGCGCACTCGAGCCGCTGCTGAGGGACGGCCAGCCGCGCGTTCATCGTCACCGCCGACACGATGGCCGACACGATCCGGCTGCGCTGCGTGCGCGCCACCAGCAGGATGCGCACGTTAAAGAAGACGATGAGCGCGGCGGGCAGCAGCAGCATGCCGCAGATGTAGATGATGCCGAAGGCGGCGTCGGGCAGCCGGCGGAAGTGTGGCAGGCAGAGCCCGGCTCGCTGCTGGTACGAGAGGCCGGCCGCCAGCGGCGTCAGTACGCAGCCGGCTGAGAGCGCCCAGCACGCGGCCAGCGCCGCCGACACCTTCCACTTTGTCACGGCCTCGCTGTAGGAGAGCGGCACGCAGATGGCCGAAAACTTGTCGTAGTTGAGGCCACAAATGGTCCACAGCGATACAGCGTGCAGGAGCAGCGTGACGCCGCCAACCAGGGCGCACTGCGCCCCGCCGGGCACCCAGTTCTCCTGCGGGAGGGGACAGCGCCAGGCTGAGAGGACACAGACCAGTCTGAGTACATACAACGCCAGTCTGAGGGGACAGCGCCAGTCTGAGAGGACACAGACCAGTCCGAGTACATACAACGCCAGTCTGAGAGGACAGCGCCAGTCTGAGAGGACACAGACCAGTCTGAGTACATACAACGCCAGTCTGAGAGGACAGCGCAGGTGTGAGAGGACACAGACACCAGTATGAAAGGACACAGCTTCCAGCCTGAGAGGACACAAAGCAGTCTGAGAGGACACAACCGCCAGTCTGAGAGCACACAGACATATGCCCATTCTTCTGAAGTCGGGATCATTTATAATTGGGTACAGTCGCATGAGACGCATATTATAGTACTAGCATGTACTGGGTGGCCCAGAAAAAACGTTCCCAACTTTAAATCAATATTTCTCAGAAAGTGATAAAGATACAACATTGAAACTTCGAATAGTCAATGCGGCACACATTTTCAGTAAATGGTGCGATTTTCATGGTGTTCGGTAAATTACTTTTCAATCGGTTCGTGATTCAAGCATGCCATGTAAAAATTACTTTTTTGCTCCGATGCTTACTAAAAAATGTGAATGAGCGGGTGAACCCTTTCACCCCGCGGCACCGCGGCCTAGAGCCATGACTTCTACTGGCAGCTAGTCTCATTGATGGTTCCGGTCTCAGGATGACACATTCCCTCAGGCAACCACGATGGCTCTGTGCCAGCGGCATCGGAAGAAGTTTCCAGTTTTCTAACCATCTTGTGGCTCAAATGCTTTCCTGGCTGACATTCCTGGGAAAAGGTAGCTTTTCAACCAGTTATTTTTTGTCATCTGCTGGCAATGCTGTTTTTCATAAACTATTCTGTGGTCCTCTGGCACAGGAACCAGTCTGCTTTAGTTTGTTTTCCTTATCCGGTCGATTTACTGTTTGATCTACTGTCAGGAGGGTAATCGGCAGTAATCCATGCACCGTGCCACTCCTGCTCGAAACATGATTTGGTGTTGAAACGAATGGCATCCATGAGCACCATTTTGGCTCAGTATTTGAATATTTGGCACATAAGTGAGACAAAAATATTTTAAATAAGAACATACGTGTTGGTTTCATTCACGTGCTCTATTTTTTATTCTTTTTTATAACATGGGACGTCTAACCCAATCATCACTATCGTTTGACATCGGCAAAAAAGCAAAAACGTCTTGCTTAATTCTACTCAAGATTGCCAGCTTGAAAATGATGGTATAGTGTTATAATTTGGCATACCAATGCGCAAAGAAATGTCGCAAACTTGATGAAAATTTTGGCTCCATATTTGTACTCAAATTTGATATATAGGCCTCCAAAGTTCGGAACGTTTTTTCTGGGCCACCCGGTATATGTGATATGTATGTACCTATATATGTATGTATGTATATGGCTGCACGCAGCTGTGGACGGACTTACCTGCACGTAGCTGTGGACGGACGTACCTGCACGTAGCTGGGGACGGTGGCCAGCAGCGTGGTGGCGCTCAGACCGACGTCCACCAGAGCCAGGTGCAGGATCAGAATGGTGGATCCGCTCCGGTACTGGAACGACAGACAGTGGGACGGTCAGCGGTCGGCCCACCCACGTGAACTGCCACCAGCGGCCCGCCGCCCACCACTGGCTGTCCATTGTTAATGTGGCCGGTGGTATAGAACAGACTCTCGCTCGGCCTGGCAACCAATTCATGGGGCAATTCTTATTTATGAGGTCATCTTTTTCTCAATATGCGTATGGTGAAGGAAAAGGGTTTGAGCGACGGCGAGCAAACAGATAAATCAGACATTTATGAAGCGCACGGACAGACGGAGTAGCGCACCCGGGCGCCGTGTGGCTATCGTTGGGACCCGGCTGGGCCGTGCGGCTATCGTTGGGACCCGGCTGGCGCCGTGCGGCTATCGTTGGGACCCGGCTGGGGCCGTGCGGCTATCGTTGGGACCCGGCTGGGGCCGTGCGGCTATCGTTGGGACCCGGCTGGCGCCGTGCGGCCATCATTGGGACCCGGCTGGGCCGTGCGGCTATCGTTGGGACCCGGCTGGGGCCGTGTGGCTATCGTTGGGACCCGGCTGGCGCCGAGCGGCTATCGTTGGGACCCGGCTGGGGCCGTGTGGCTATCGTTGGGACCCGGCTGGCGCCGTGCGGCCACCATTGGGACCCGGCTGGGCCGCGCGGCTATCGTTGGGACCCAGCTGGCGCCGTGCGGTTGTCGTTGGGACCGGCTGGCGCCGTGCGGCTATCGTTGGGACCGGCTGGGGCCGTGCAGCTATCGTTGGGACCCGGCTGGCGCCGAGCGGCTATCGTTGGGACCCGGCTGGGGCCGTGCGGCTGTCGTTGGGACCCGGCTGGGGCCGACGCCGCCGAGCACTGCGCCGGCCGTCCGATGCCAGATACAAACACACTGCGGTGCCGGCGCGGCCGCCACGGTGTACAGTAGGCCTGCAAAGTAAGTCCCCGTCGTATGCAGGTCACCAGTGGGCAGTTAGCGCCTGAGCGCTACTCGGGCGCCACCTGCCCGCATACGGAGGGGATTTATTTTGTAGACCTACTGTACGGCTCTCGCAAGATAAGGCGGTAGGTTTTGCATTTTTACATTTCCGGTTATATCTCAGAAACTAATCGATCTACGATAAAGCCATTTTACACGATCATGGCCGGCTTGTGAACCAACAAGTCGATCGCATCTTCAACACTTAAAAGCTTAAGACGACAAAGATATAGCCTGAAGTACACTAGATTTTCTAGGTGAAAAACCCTATACCGCTAAACCCGCGAGACCTGTACATAAGGGCCTCTGCTCGGCCGACCCGCTGCCCACTGAGCGACGGGCGCCATTTCAGCGTGTCGGCCGCCCGCCCGCTGCCAATTTCTCGCGCCAGCCCTACAAAGAAGGCGCGCCGGCGCGGAAATTGTTTCCGATGAGTGCACAGGGTGATTGGCAGAGTCGGTGCGGCGAGCAGAGTTAGGCCAGTGGTGGGGCGCCCGGCCTGCTTCTCCTATGGAACATCTCCAGTCGGAGTGTCACAGCACGTTTGGCTTCCTGAGTAAAGGCCGCCCCACACTGAACCTCGCATGCGAGTTGCGAGCTTGCGGGTTTTGAGTTTGCGGGCATAATACAAATTCATAGAGTGATTAGACCGTTCCCTTATAGTAACTTCATGAATGCAGTGAAGCCGTTACACCTTCAGAAAATTACATTTAGTCGCGATGCCAGCGTAACGAACCAAAATTGGACTCCAACGAAAAACCCGCAAACCTCGCAAAACTCGCAGACCTCGTAGCGAGGAAAATCTAAAGTTGACTCAAAATCAACTTTTGGAATGCGATGCAAGGTGGCTCGCAAGCTAAGAACATGCAGAATCGCTTGTTAGATGGTAGTGTGGGTCACTCAGCATAAATTGTATTATTTGATTTTGAAGAAACTTGAAAACCCGAAAACCCGCAACCTGCATGCGAGTTCCAGTGTGGGGCGGCCTTAAGGCTGGTGAGGCTGGCCGAGGAGGCCTCATAGTCATAGTCATATTCATCAGTGTTTGTTGTTTGTTTACTTTTTCATTCAAATACACAAACTGTTCACGAACAGTTGTGTTCGCTAACGAGTGACGTCATCGGCCAAATTTTAGAGTACAAACAGGGAAAAGTTCGTGAACGTTAATGAACTGTTCGCGACCACGGTGAAGAGGGGGGTGGATAAAACCCCTCCCTAGCCGTCTCTTATTGTCTTGTCAGAGGATTGGTCGGAGGAGTCGTACGTAATTTGAAGTGTTCCGTCATTTGCATTGTTTTTATGGGAATTATATTCTAAGTCCAGTAATTTTTGCTATGAGCTGAAAGAGAATTCGTCATAGTAACTTTTGATGTAAAAATGGTTTTGTGTCAAACCACTTAAGAAGACTTTATCGACGCGACAAAAGCATCAAAAATATCAAATTTTAAGTTTTGCGTAGGGCCAAAAGTGCAGCAATCGTTTGATTTTTCTCTGAGCCGCGTCATTTTTATGACGGATCTTCGCCGCAAGAACTGATCAGTGATTACTGTAAAATGAGGTAACATTTTTACTTAACTCAAGCCTTGATGAAGAAATAATTGCTATAGAAAACAGCGTAATGGCGGCGGAAAGGGCTCTACGAAATGAACTCCTTTGTTTTGTTGTATATAAGATGGGATAGATGCCATTTGAAATTATTGTCAAGACCTGCATGGATTTTTTACTCCTAGCAAGTGATCCAGGAGGCCAAAGATATGCCTTGGAATGAAGTGATTAGCGATGCTTTCCAAGCCCGGAAGGATCTAAGAAACGTCAAACGGGAAGGAGGAAGCAGCGGTCTAAAGGAGGAAGCAGCGGTCTAAAGGAGAAAGCGGATATGGAGGACATTTTAAAGGCATTTCAAGTTTGTAACAGAGGCTAGTTTTTTCGTGTTCGTATTTTGCACTGTCTCCTGGTGGATGTGGAAGAGCCGCTGTAAGCATTGTCTGTTAGTGAGGAGCTGAGAGCATGGCAGGGTGTGGATGGTCCTCCCCACCATCCACACTTCTGTCTTGTTACGAGATCGGGAGCGAGCAGCTGACGTCCTCGGCTTGGATGGTTCATGATGCGTGGAAAGATCCGCCATTCCTTGCCTCCTCTATGGTTGGCATCGTGACACACAGACACTTGTCAAGTGCAACAGTCAATAGTTGCGTTTACTACATAACATTTTGACGAGGCTCAAGCTCATTTATTTTGCGATTTGTAAATTGTAAAGAATCATTGGCATATTTTGCAACGTAACGGGCGAAGCTATGAGCTTGCAACAATCCCTATGAAACGCAGCTAATATCTCAGTGAGGGTTAAAGCAAGCCTGCAGGTGGCAGGATGCCGGTCGTCCACATACTTCCACCGATGATCTTCGCTAACAGCACAGTCATTTATATGAGCCAAAAATGCAGTTGGTGCGATTTTTGTCGAGCAGATGGTGCGATCCACACGTGGTAGTGAGCTCTGATGAGACAGGATTCAAGCCGGACGTCGTTGTACCACCAAGTCGAACGACCTGTTTCCGGCTGTTGAGGAAGATGGCTACTGTAGGCACGATGGAGGGACGGACTTGCTTGTCGAGTAGCTTCCTGAGCACATCATCACTAACCAGGTCGAAGGCCTTGGAAAAATCGATCGCCAGGATGGCCGCAGCATTTGAAGAGCTATCCATGTTCTTAGCCAGAAAGTCATATAGCGAGATCAGGTATTTTACCGTAGAGTAACCTGGCCTGTTTCCGAACTGGTGTGGGTCAAGTGATGGGGTAATGTCAGTCATGATCCAGGTTGTTAAAGACCCTTCAAAGATTTTGGAGAAAAGCGGGGTGAGTGAAATGTGTCTAAGATCGTTGAAAGATGTTGGAGGGTTGACCTTGGAAATGTGGTTGATGAAGGATAGCTTCCAAGCAGACGGGAATTTTCCCGAGGATAGCGAGGAGCTGAAGCTGTGGGTGAGTGGCTGCGATAATTCGACCAGCCGTGCTGGTAGTTCATTCGGTGTGGTGGAGATGTTGGAGCGGATGCTGCTCTGTTCCCTCTGGACGTCAGCTCGTCGGATGACCGGTGGGGGTGCGTCCGCCGGTAGGTAGGAAGGGAATTCCTCCAGGTTGAGTGCCGGCAGCTGAGATGAGATAGATGCGAAGTGCTGGTTGACTGCTTCCGCTAGCGCCCCACCAGTCTCGTACTCAGTGAAGTTTAGCTGCTCGCTCTTTACTCGGCCGGTCTCAGACTCTTGATTTGACGGTACCAAGTAGCCGGCTTTGCTGTCCTCATCCCTCGTATTTTCCTGTCGTAGAATTTCGCCTAGGCTTTGCGGCACAGACGAGTGGCCTTATTTCGTAGATGTCGCCACCGGCCGGACATGCCCTAGAGTCGGAAAACTCTGTGCTTCTGTACAATGACGTGTCGGTCGGTGGCGGTGATTTGAGGCTCTAGAGAGGCCAGAAGAGCGACCTGACGTCTGATAAGCCCCTCGCTGGGAGCCTTTGTTTTGAGCCTAGCCTTGCCACTTAGAGCGTCACTGACCCAGTGAAACGCTGTACTGGAGTCCGCCAGCAGCTGGATGTTGGTCGCTCCCCATGCAATGGCCATGTTAACGCCTTTGACGGCAGCATCCAGCTCTGCTAGATTTATATGGGTCGCGTCTTCGGCTCGCAGCCAGCGGGCGTCCTCCACCACAGACCTGCGACTTCCAGCACGACGCCGGAGCTACCGAGCTGGCATCAGTGCAAACTTTCATCGTGCTACTGGTGATATCCTATCTTCCCGTCGCTGGGTCTAGGGTGTTGAACGAAATGGTGGAGCGTGTGAAACACGCTCCGCTCCACCATTTCGTTCAGCATACAGCGAAGGCTTCATCTTCCACCGGGTCGTCCCAACCGTTTGTCATGGAGTTGACGCGCCGCTTGACGTATGCTGCTGCGACGCGCAGCCAACCACATACTGGTAGGTGGCCGGCCAACTTGCCGCAGAGAGAGAGAGAGAGAGAGAGAGAGAGAGAGAGAGAGAGAGAGAGAGAGAGAGAGAGAGAGAGAGAGAGAGAGAGAGAGAGAGAGAGAGAGAGAGAGAGAGAGAGAGAGAGAGAGAGAGAGAGAGAGAGAGAGAGAGAGAGAGAGAGAGAGAGAGAGAGAGAGAGAGAGAGAGAGAGAGAGAGAGAGAGAGAGAGAGAGAGAGAGAGAGAGAGAGAGAGAGAGAGAGAGAGAGAGAGAGAGAGAGAGAGAGAGAGAGAGAGAGAGAGAGAGAGAGAGAGAGAGAGAGAGAGAGAGAGAGAGAGAGAGAGGAGAGAGAGAGAGAGAGAGAGAGAGAGAGAGAGAGAGAGAGAGAGAGAGAGAGAGAGAGAGAGAGAGAGAGAGAGAGAGAGAGAGAGAGAGAGAGAGAGAGAGAGAGAGAGAGAGAGAGAGAGAGAGAGAGAGAGAGAGAGAGAGAGAGAGAGAGAGAGAGAGAGAGAGGAGAGAGAGAGAGAGAGAGAGAGAGAGAGAGAGAGAGAGAGAGAGAGAGAGAGAGAGAGAGAGAGAGAGAGAGAGAGAGAGAGAGAGAGAGAGAGAGAGAGAGAGAGAGAGAGAGAGAGAGAGAGAGAGAGAGAGAGAGAGAGAGAGAGAGAGAGAGAGAGAGAGAGAGAGAGAGAGAGAAGACGCTCCGACGATCAGTTTGGCGGGAAATCCACCTAAGGCGTTGTCCCACTTCCACACCAGAGCGACACCCTCTTGCACCCTGACTCCGAGCCGAGCACTCGAGCGCCGATGCGGGGTCGCTCCGCTGCCCTACACGTGAGGCCGAATCGGTTCAGATGTGATTGCTCTATCTCTGCTGAAACGGTGCTCTCGTCCACGTGCACGTCGTCGATGTACGCAGACGTCCCTGCGTACACTTGTGGGTCCTGCTTCAGGACGGTCTCCAGCACGGCACGCATGATCACCGGCGCCACGTTGAACCCGAATCCTAGCCTTGTGACGTTCGCCTTCACACAGCACGGTTTGCTGTGCTGTGTATGGATGTGAAACAAAAACACTGGTCTGTGTGATTTATAAGGTCAATGGTTTCTCAACTGTTCACAGGTCAGTTTTTCACGCTGATTCCGGAAATGGAATCCGTTTTCCTCGATTAGCTCGATTTTTAAAGATACGTTGTTTTGCCGATATGAACAAAGCCATGCTGATTGGCTTAGTTTAGTTAATTACACAGAAGCATATATATGTTAAAACTGCAAACTGACCCACTATAAGTGAATTCCGATCCCATTACACACGCACTGTTGCGACACAAATGGCCTTTTCACGGATTTCCGACTGTGTTGAGCACATGGGACGTCCTTCTTCAAGCACCAGCAATAGTCCGCCAGGAAGTTGACGTCCCACCGACCCTCGTACCGTTTTTTTCATCAAGCGTATGTCTTTGTGGAAACATTCTATCTGCTCTTCACTATAATCACCAGTTTTCTGGGAAATAATCAAAATGGGACCTAAAAAAGCTCAAAATGTATCTGTATGCCCACTCCAATGTGCATATTAATGCATCGGTGTGTATCCTTGACATAGTGTGGAAACTCGAGCTAATCGAAAAAATGGATACCTTTTCCGAATTCGGCACACAAAACTTGCATTGGAACGGTTGAGAAATCTTCAATCTTGGGGGGAAATGTGTCAGTATGCCCACTCCAATATGCATATTAATACATCAGTGTGTGAGCTGTTATCCTTGACATAGTGTGAAAACTGGAGCTAATCGAGAAAAATGAATAGCTTTTTTGGATTCAGCTCACGAAACTTGTATTATAGAACAGCTGAGAAATATCCAACTTTGGGGAACAATGTATCAGTATGCCCACTCCAATGTGCATATCAATACATCAGTGTGTGAGCTTTTATCATTGACATAGTGTGAAAACTCGAGCTAATCGAGAAAAATGGATAGCTTTTTTGAATTTAGCACACGAAACTTGTATTAGAACAGCTGATAAACATCCAACCTTGGGGAAAATATATCAGCATGCCCACTCCAATGTGCATATGAATGCATCAGTGTGTGAACTTTTATCCTTGACATAGTTTTAAAACTCGAGCTAATCGAGAAAAATGGACAGCTTTTGCGGATTCAGCACACAAAAATTGTATAAAAACAGCTGAGAAACCTCCGACCTTTTGAAAAAAGTCTTGAAACGCCGGCCAGTGAAATACACAGTCGCCGCGATTCGCACACGGGAGAAGCTCATAAACGCAAAATATGCTATCTTGTTTAATAAATTTTGCTTATCAAACAATCCGCTCCCTAGATTTACAAATGCCCAAAATGTGTATAGGTACTAGTGGTGCCAATTTCATGAAATTTCAATTCCAATTCCGATCCAATTCCAAGAAATTGCCAAGTAAATTTCCAAGTTTGTCCAAAGCGGGGGCTATTCCAATTTTTAACGATTTTTGCATTTTTTGCGTAAATTTTAAAAGTGTTTAAAAGCGTTTTAAAGGCCTCCGTTTTAAAATTTTAAATTTTAAAGGCCTTGTGTTCCGATTAATTTCCAAAAAATGTTAAGAATTCCGTCCAAATTCCAAATTGGAATTGGACAAAAATTGGAATTCCAAGAAAAGAAATTCCGATTGGCACCAATAATAGGTACACGCCGACCATTGCTCCCGTTTCTTTTTCCGGTCCTGGCTGTCCCCCGCCGGCCCCAGTTATCCCTCCCGAGCTGTCCCTCCCGGCTCCAGCCGTCCCGCCTCGACGGTCTGCCCACCTGTTTGGACCAGATGAGGCCCGTGGTAATGCACGCGTTGCTGAGGAATGTGCAGATTTGAACCAGCGCTAGAGTGGCAGCCACGGCGACCGTCACCGCGCCGGGCATCTCCTGGCGACAGTGACGTCAGCGGCGCCCGGCGGTGACGTCAGCGGCGCCCGACAGTGACGTCAGCGGCGCCCGACGGTGACGTCAGCACTCAGCAGTGCCGGTCAGCGTGCACACCTCCTGTTAAAGAAGGAAGGGTCACTGGCGGTTCCTGGCGGTTCCAGATCACTGGCCGTTCCAAGGGAGGGGACAGTTGGGAAAATGTCCCCCTTGCAGCTCCCGAAATTGATGAAAATTTGACTTTTTCCTAGGATAGCATGAAAACTAGACACAGAGAAAAGGTTAAAGAAAGAAAGAAAAAGAAAAAAGAGAACTTGAATGGACTAAAATCTTGCTTTAAACTAGTTAACAATGTATATGTTACAGGCAATGCGTGGAATCAGGCATTCTATAGAATGCCTGCCTGACCGACCAGGCATTCTATAGAATCCCTAGGTATTCTATAGAATGCCTGACCCAAGGCCATATATAGAAGGCACAGTCACTCCCCCGCCGACCAATCAGAGACAGATCCTGAGTGACGTCATCCCTGATGCTCGCAGGGGGTGCTCCATTCCTTAACAACGTAAAAATGGCAAACTTCATTTGAAGATTATTGATGGTACTTTTCACATATTGCTCAACCGTTGATGTCAATCGAAAGTCCAACTAATTTTCTAGCGACAAAAAAGAGCAGCAATATGCTGATAAATGGCCGGTTTTGAAGATAGAGGCGATTTAAAAACCCTCTACAGTTGCAGAAAAGCAACGTAAAAACACATAGAGCTTATATTTTTACTATAAGTAATTCATTTTTCAGTATATTTTTAGATAACGTATTGATATGAATAATAACTTTATTACAATATTTTTTATTATTATTTGTAACTTTATTTCAAAATTATATTTTCAAAAATGGCAAGTTTTGGCAAGAAGCTTGGAAGCCATTGTGGCGCACCACGCCATTATTGTCTTGAGTCCCCCTTATGATGTCATCAAAAGTGGAGTGACATGGGCCTGGCCTGACCCACCAGGCATTCTGTAGAATGCCTGATTTTCAGGCATTTACAGGGTGTCCCAAAAAGTAAGGTCATGATTTAATACTTAAATATCTCGAGAAGTAAGAGTCCGAATCACTTCCAATTTTAACATGTTCAAGGTACATCCATAAAATCATTGTATTGCATGCTTAAACCATTTTTGATCATAACTACACCGAGCAGTAGGCATAAAACTGAGAAGGTCGAAATTCAACTCTTAGAGAGGTCCGTCATTAAAACAAAGGGTAAATACCGCCCAGTTTTCGGCCCTAAGCAGACCCTATCAGCTCGCCCTATCTCTGAACTCATGCATAGTTTCGCCTCAACCGGTAAAACGTCAGAAAAAAAGGTATAATGTACGCACAGGGCATTATACTTAGCCACGTGTGCTTCGAGGTCCTGAGGACGACAGCGGGAATCGGGTGAAAATAAATCAAAAGAGGTGGCCGAGAGTCCTCCCAGTGGTTCTTCCGCTCGTCGCAACGCACCTGTGCCGACACCATCAACCAGCAGTGGTTTCAGCAGGATGGAGACTATGCTTGCACCGTCCTGAAGATCATGCATTGTCTCCGAGAGTGGATGTGAGATCGCGTAATTTTCAGTCAGGGCAACGCCATTGAATGGCCTCCGCGGTCACCTGACGTTACACCTTCATATTTTTATTCTCTGGGTACACAACGGAAAGGTTGACTTTTAGGACAACCCAACGAGCCGGGAAGAACTAAAGGATGATCCCTCCGAGCAAACATAAGCGGCATCTCACCAGAGAATCGCTCCAGAATAGTGGAGGAAGTAAAACGCAGTCTATTCGTGCACGTGGCCCGAAATGGTAGCCATGTATAAAAGCAGCAAATGTGGGGCTACGAGCCAATGTATTGACTCATATGTATATCAGAATAAAATTTTATAAAATGTTCTTTCATATGATGTCCTATTTATTCATATCCATCGCGTATTTTTGGCGGTGTGGCCAAAACAAATGATGACCTTACTTTTGGGACACCCTGTATTTGCTTATTTTATTTGCTGGCGAATCCCCTTTGCAAGCGGTGCCTTGCGTCGGCGTTTGTTTTCCAAAGTTCAATGACCTCCCGGCTCTGATTCTTTTCACTCAGTTTTGCAAGCGAAGAACTGAGCCTAAAGCACGTGCAATTCTGCTCGGTGCCGGCCGCGGCCCCACCACGTGTACACCGCTGAACCCACCCGCTCGAAAAGCTGACACGACAAATGAGTGCACGCGTCCGACTTCAAGCAAAAATTTCACCCCCGTAGCCCTTACCGTTTCTGAGCAATAGCGTGTGTTTGCCGTTTCTAATGCTAACCCTATTGCACACGTGAGCACGCGCCAAGGGCGCACCCCCGGCCGCACCGTGACCAAAATTGAATACGACCTGTTGAATCATGTGACCCACGAGTGGTAAAATTTCACCCTTCTTCGTCAATCGACGGCGCAGCAATAAGCGTTTTTGGGAGTAACCCCGACGGCGGTGGCGGCGGCGGCGGACTTTTTGGGATTTATAATATGGACTAGGCGCCCAACATTACGCGCAGCGTAATAAATCAATTTTCATTGAAATCGGCCCAGTAGCTACCGAGTTATTGCAAGAATAAATTTGGCGTCTCCTTCTGGCCGGTGGTGCCCTGCGCCGGTGTTCATTGCCAAAGGTCAGTGACCTGCCGGTTCTGATTTCACTCAGCTTTGCAAGCGAAGAAACTGAGCCTAAGGCGCGTGCCGTCTGCTCGGCGCCGGCCGCGGCCCAAAATGTCGGAAAGATGCACCCGCCACGTGCAAACCGCCGAGCGCACCCCCACCAAAATTTAATGCGACAAATGGTTGCACGCGTCCGGCTCGGCGCCAAAATTTCAACCCCGCAGCCTGCATCGTTCCGGAGCAACAGCCCACCAAAGGAAACTGACGCGTTACGTACATACATACTTACAGACGTTTTGATTTTTATATAGGTAGAGGGACAGCATTACTCACAGCGTAATAAATCGATTTTCATTAAAATCGGCCCAGTAACGGCCGAGTTATTGCAAGAATAAATTTGGCGTCTCCTCTTGGCCGGCGGTGCCCTGCGCCGGTATTCATGGACAAAGGTCAACGACCTCCCGGCTCTGATTTCACTCAGTTTTGCAAGCGAAGAAACTGAGCCTTAAGGCCGCCCCACACTGGACCTCGCATGCGGGTTGCGAGTTTTTGGGTTTTCGGTTTTCTTCAAAATCAAATAATACAATCTTTGCCGAGTGACCCACACTACCATCTAACAAGCGAGTCTGCATGTTTTTAGCTCGCGAGCGACCTTGCATTGCATTCCAAAAGTTGATTTTGAGTCAACTTTCGATTTTCCTCGCTGCGAGATCTGCGAGTTCTGCGAGGTTTGCGGGTTTTTCGTTGGAGCCGAATTTTGGTTCGTTGCGCTGGTATTGCGACTATATGTAAGTTTCTGAAGGTGTACCGGCTTCACTGCATTCATGAAGTTACCATAAGGAAACGGTCTAATCACTCTATGAATTAGTATTATGCCCGCAAACTCAAAACCCGCAAACCCGCAACCCGCATGCGAGTTCCAGTGTGGGGCGGCCTTAAAGGCCGCCCCACACTGGACCTCGCATGCGGGTTGCGAGTTTTTGGGTTTTGCGGTTTCTTCAAAATCAAATAATACAATCTAAGCTAAATGACCCACACTACCATCTAACAAGCGAGTCTGCATGTTTTTAGCTTGTGAGCGACCTTGCATCGCATTCCAAAAGTTGTATTTTAATAAACTTTCGATTTCCCTCGCAGCGAGGTCTGCGAGTTTTGCCAGGTTTGCGGGTTTTTCGTCGAAGTCGAATTTTGGTTCGTTGCGCTGGTGTTGCGACTATATGTAAGTTTCTGAAGGTGTGCCGGCTTCACTGCATTCATATAGTTACCATAAGGGAACGGTCTAATCACTATGAATTAGTATTATGCCCGCAAACTTAAAACCTGCAAACTCGCAACCCGCATGCGAGTTCCAGTGTGGGGCGGCCTTAAACGTAAATTGTCAGCTAAAATACAAAATTTGATATTTAATAGAATCAGCACTCCACTTTACGAAACTGAAATCAGATTTTCGAAATTCGGTCTAAGTCACGAGTAATTTAATGTTGAAATTGGGATATCACCTACTTTTTGTACTATTTTTACGTTAAAACCCAACAGATTCCCCAACTATCACTATATTTGAATCGCGTGAAATCGGAGCTTCTCTACGAAACTTCAAATCAAAAGTTAATTTACGATTTTGCCGAATATCAACATAATTACGAGCGAGCGAGCGCAGCGAGCGAAGCGAAGTCTTTTCAATATAAAGGAAAAATCTCAGTATGAGCGGCCCGGCCCAGCCCGGCCTGTAACGCTTTTGAGAGGCTTATATCTCAGCAACCGCTGGACCGAATGGCCTGCGGTCTTTTTTGCTGGGTAGCCCCATCCCCAAATTATGACGTGAACATGGCATTGAGGTGCACTAAGGTGCAGGCTGTAAACGGTTGCTTTAGAGGGGCTCAAGTGGTTTCAGAGGGGCGTCATGCGTTTCCGCACTTCTTCCAAAAAACAAACTTTGGCAACATACCGAAAATCTTCGAAGTTCTAGAGTCATTTACAACAACGCACGTGATTTATTGAATTTGAATTATCGGCCAATGGGGCCCTCCGCGATGTCTTTCTTACCGTCTCATTAGAGGGATGTTTTTTCATTTGACTCAAGCTATTTTGCCACTAGCTTTTTTGATCACCCGGATCACCCTAGCTATTTTTCTTCACTAGCTATTTCGACGATAGCGATTTTGTCACCAGCTGTTTTGAGGTACTATGTTTTTACTAGCTGAAAAGTCACTAGCTCAAATATCACTAGCCTGCGCCCTGGTGGGGGGCTATTTTATGCCCCCCCCCCCTCCAGACTTTTCAATGTATCTCCAGAACCGCTTCGCCGATCGTCACCAAACTTTCAGTACCTTCCCTCCCGGGCATCAATTTTACGCATTGTGACAAACATTTTCCAAAGGCTATGACAAGTTGTCCGCAAATGACGTC